GGGAAAAGATGTTGGCCGCCCTCGTGATCTGTGGAGACACGGCTAGATCCACCCTTCAGCCCCAGGCCTTCATAATGACTGTGCCTGTCAGTTGCATGGAGCTTCATTCAAGGATTTTCTGAGCCTGATCTATGGTGATAATTCAGCTGCCTGGGGAATAACACTAGTAGATACAATCTCTGGAATTATAGCCAGAACATTTCTGGATGCTAGAAGTGATTTTAAGGAAGGCCTTGGCTAAGTGCCTCATGGATTCCTGCAGCCTGGCCCACAGCTCCCTGCAAGGGCTGAGATCTCTGTCCTTGTCTCAGACAGGAATGTTTCGTTGGGTCTCTGCCAGCTCCATTTGGGGGCTCCCTCTGAAATGGGTGAAGTACTATAGTTCACAGGATTGGTGTTGGGGATCACCAATAGACATTGATTTGTGGAACACCCACCCAGGATTATGCCTGGCATGCAGCCAATATTCAGCACATGAACTAGGAGTAATCCTTGTCCTCCAGGAAACAGAATTTCAATAAGGGACTTCCCACCTGGTTCGAGGATGCAGGTGCTGGGCTCTAGGATGAAGATGGATCAAGATTGCATTCTAGCCCTAACCAGTTGGCTCAGTGGCTAGAGGGTCAGCCTGTGGATTGAAGGGTCCCAGGTTCGATTCCGGTCAAGGGCATGTACCTTGGTTGCGGGCACATCCCCAGTAGGGAGTGTGCAGGAGGCAGCTGATCGATGTTTCTCTCTCATTGATGTTTCTAACTTTCTATCCCTCTCCCTTCCTCTCTGTAAAAAATCAATAAAATATATATTTTTTAAAAAAGATTGCATTCTAGTCCTCGGAGGCTTACTGTCTGAAGGGACCCATGCCCTTGGTCAGTAGGCCACATTGTCTGGAGCTGGGAGAAGCAAGTTTTACTCCCTTCTTGGCCCCTGATGACTGTATGACCTTGAGCAGATCAACTCCCTGCTCTGGGTCACTGGTGGCAAAACCATCTAATTGCTCTTCTAAACGGGGACATTTGAAAGTAAAAGGGGCACTATAACACGTTTTCTGGTTTGACCAATGGGAACCAGAACATTGCTAGGCAAACCAGGCCCAGTGACCCCAGGACACCTGTTAGATGGGACGACGTTGCTAGTACTGCTGGTGCTGCTTGGTGACTGGGTGCAAGTCTGCTCCTCCATTTACCCACTGCATTTGCACAGGCAGCTTTCATTTCTGCTTCAGGGATATGAACACAAGTGTGCCTTCAGCTGCTTGGAAGAACCCATTTCTCTTTGAGCCCTGTTTTCCCAAACTGCAGCTAGAGCAGGCCCCATCTGTTTTTTTATTTTGTTTTTTTATGGATGGGCCCGTGTTGATTGACAACATACACTGTAGCCCTAGGAACCTGGGGAACTTAAAACTGCCTTCTCATGTATACAGACACCCCAGCCAACATTTCCAGTGATGAAGAAATGCCCTAGACCTCAACAAGGGTGCCCAAGGCCCCTGGAGGTCTGCTCAGAGTCACTGGTAGAGAGGGCTGTGACACATTTTTCCAGGCCAAGCCTGGAGACCAAGGGTTCTCAATGAATAGGGTTGCTTAATAATTGGTGTTTCTAAGTGCTTGGAGTGTGTCTATCTGCAACCCTTTTACATTTGAAGAACCTGAGATTCAGAGCAGTCCAGAAAGCTGCCAAGGTTATCTAGGGAGAAAGCAGAGAAGCTGGTGTTCACATGCCAGTCTTTTAGCCTTCAACCACCTTACTCCTGCTTGTGTTTCTCAAAGCATGCCAAGAGGTATGCAAGGTGATTTTAGTTTACAGATAGTCAAGTTGGACAAGAACTAAACCACAATTGGCACACAAGGCCTGTGATGTTGCAGATATCATTGCTTAGTGTGTAAAGTATGTATTTAAATGAGAGGTCAACTTTGTGAAAATACCATGGTGATAAGTGGACATAGCCCACCTTGAGCAGGGCTAAATTTGGAGTGCAGGTTCCAGCTTTGACTTGTAATACCTTGTGTTGGGTTCAGAGTGCCTCTGAGCCTGTGACCTAAGTAGCGGTGTCCTGCGTCATGTCATCTGTGCCTTTTAGCCCATCATGGTCCTCCCAGGACAAGGGCTACAGTATTATAATCTGCTTGGATTGACTGAGATTACTGATCTGGGCCCTGCCAACTCTATTATATTTATTGAGCACTCAAAGTTTCCCACTCAACCCCTGTATTACTCTGAGATTGAAGTATGAAATAGTAAATATCATGCTATACTTTTTTTTTTCCTAGTGTACTTAGTTGCCAAACACTTTCCATTTGGTCTGAGATCTGTTCGTCTTTCAAATACTCAAAAAATATGCACTTTAAAGGAATGGTTCCCCCCAGGCCAAGCTGAGGACCTGTCCTTTGAGAATTCTTGCTATTTCTCACCCACACAGCTGCTCAGGAGGCATTCCTGCTGGTGGGGGCTCACGGGTCATGAGTTCTAACCCTGTTTGACCCTCTAGACACCTCAGGGTCCCGGAGGCAGGAACTGGATCCCGGGCTCCTCAAGAAGCAGTCGTACTAGTGATGGGCTTTGGGGCAGAGATGGGGCCATATCATCTGACAAGCCAGCAAGTGGCTGAAAGATGCAAGTGACAGGAAACCCGCAGAGATGAGCCCCTTTCTGGGGGACAAAGCAGGATGTCCAGCAGCGCCTGGCACCTTCCCCTCTCTGGGCGGAGTGCTTGCTCCCCAGAGCCAGAGACTGCCCAGCGACAGTCCCATTCCACTTCCTTAAAACTGGAGAGAGGCATCTCGTATTTGCACTTAGCAAAGGATTTTAAAACTTAAAAAAAAAAGGGTGCATGACCTGTCACTTTGTATAAAAATAGCAAAAATGATTACTAAACATTTTCTATACTTTCTGGTAATAAAAACACATAAAATAATCCTGTTTTAACTACTGTGTAAAAAGCCTGTATCATATATACCTTGGACTTTTGTAAATAAATGTTTGTGCACTCTGAAAAAAAATGCACTTTTATAAATGGTAACCAATAACCAGAATCTGTGGATATCATCTTCAAGGTGCACAAAGTTAAATGAGAGCACATTATTCCTGTGCTTCTCAAACTAAGATACATATAAGGAGCATGAGGTAACCTAAGACAGCATGATTCATCTTCCTAGAGGATATGAATTGTATACTCATATATTACAATACCTGGAAGAGGAAAAATTCTTGTATTACAATTACTTATGGAACTAGAGTACAATTTATAGTAGCGCTTATGATAAAACATAGCATCAAATCCCTTCAATGTCATGAATAAAGTGAGTTTTTGAAGAAAGCAGAAAGCTCTGTGAAAAGCACAGCAGTATTTAAATACAGACATACCTCGTTTTATTGAGTTTCATTTTACTGTGCTTCATAGATGTTGCTTTTTTTTTTTTATAAACTAAAGGCAGAACCCTCCACTAGCAAAAGCATTATAACTCACTTTATTGGGGTGGTCTGGAACTGAACCCACAATATCTCCAAGTTGTGCCTATATGGCTGGGACTAATTACTATGACATTTCTTTTGATCTGATTTTCTACTGATTGTGTTAGTTTGATAAAATATTTCAAGTGTCCCGCTTACTGCTATCTTACCTACTTTAAAGGTATTTTATTACTTAAGTGAATTATGCCAATATTAGTAACATAGACTTTTATGAACAAAGTTAATATCTATTTTATTAGCAGGAGCAAAGAAATTACAACTACATTCTTATTTTCTTTTAAAATTCAACTGAAGATGTCTTATATGTATCTGTATACCTTATTGTGTCTAGCAGCACATGGTCAGAAAATGATTTCTAAATTGGATTAACATTTCATTTTTCACTGAAATAAATATTATTGTATTTCAACAGAAACTAGTTACTTGAATCTCTGATCTTATTTCCCCATCTAAAGATTTTTCCCAATGCAGCAACATCATGGTTGAGACACACACTAGATCTGTTCAGCAGATTTCCAAAACTCCCAGTCTCTGCAACTCAGTAACAGTAGCCAACACTCAGCGTCGACTTATTCTGAGTCAGGACCTGATCTAAGCCCATATATTAACTCATTTACTCCTCACAAAAACTCTCCGGGGAAGGTATTTCCCCTATTTTGCAGACATTAAGTAACTTGCCATGGTCACCCAGCAGCTGATGCTGTTCTACAGTGCCTTTCACGTGTTCTATTTAATGTCAGTCCATTGTTCATGGGGTGGGTCCACAAATTATCAGGCTTATATTCTCAGTATTTCTCACAGAAAAACAGGCTATCTGAAAGAAAATGGCATACTTTGTATGCTTAAAAGTGTTACATAAATATCAAATAGATTATTAAAAACGATTGAGATATCTATACTAAGGATCAAAATGACAGATGGTAAAAGGTAACCATTACCTCTTCTAATCACAACCGTTTGGGAATTGAAATCTATTTTTTTCTACTATAAAGAAATTCTCCCTACTGTCAGTGGAATAAAAGTGCAGTGCAAGCCTTGGGGACATCTTAACCTATTTCTTCTTCCTTCATTATACTCAGAAATGGCCTATCTGAACTGTTAGGTGCCCAAATACTGTTGGTTTAGAATGTCATAGTTAAGGCTTTAGACTGTTTTCCTTTAGTTCTCTGCTTTCACTGTGAAATACTTCAAGCATAATCTTTGATGAGTTCTAAAATTTTCAGCAGGTTGAAAAATCATAGAAATGGAAAGTTACCCCTAATATATTTATTTTAATATTTTTAAAAATATATTTTTATTGATTTCAGAGAGGGAGATGGAGAGACAGAAACATCAATGATGAGAGAATCATTAATCAGCTGCCTCCTGCATGCCCCCACTGGGGATCGAGCCTGCAACCTGGGCTTGTGACCCGACCAGATCTCAAACCCTGACCTCCTGTTCCATAGATCAACCAACATTCAACCACTGAGACATACCAGCTGGGCACATATTTCAATTTGGAAACTGAAGTTCATAGAAAGTCATAAAAATTCATTTTAAGTCAGATTTATTGATTGCCTATAGTGTGCATGGTCCTCGTTAGACACAACGAAATTCAGGCACAAAACAGACACAAGATCCCTGGCCTCAGGAACCTTATGATCTAATTAGTAGAACACAGATTAGAAACAAAAGACAGACAAGTTACATGTCAATGCTCACTTACTAGAATTGACATTAAAGAGCAGTAATTTAAGTAATCCAAAATGGCATCTAATCCTAAAATCATTTATAAAATGTATTTGGCCTTGAAATCCATAGCACTTCAAGCAAGATAATTAAGTTCCATTGCAGATAAAGTCACAAAGACGCAAATACTTTGACACCCTTCAGAGCATTATTAATGATTTTTGTTATTGTGGGTCTTCTGCTTTCTTCTTATTATCGTTCGCAGCCTCCGTAATACCAGTTTATCAGACAGAAGCATGTCATCTTGTTGTTCTAGATAATCCAGTAAGTTTTCGGTCCATTCAAGTGCAGCTTTATGGCTAATGTGCTTCTCTGGATTCACTTCTGTTTTTCTGGTCTTGCTGGGAGGCTTTTGCTCAGCAGGCTTGGACTGGTCCTCAACACCTTCACTGTCACTTAGCACCTGACAGCTTGAATCACTACTCTGAGAGTCAAACCACTGGTCAATATTCTCAATGTCAACGTGTTCACAGTCTTCTGTATTCTGTAAAACCGTTGCTAAGTTAGCTGCTAAAATGGCTCCTTCATCCATGTTCAGACCTGAATTCTCTTCATTGCCAGGGAAAAGTTTTTTCCAAGCTTTGGTTATGGTACTTGATTTCACCATGTTCCAAGCTCTTGACACTTCATAAATTGCGTCCAACACTGTCAAGTTCTTCCAAAACATTTTGGGGTCAATTCCTTCATCCATGTATTTCTGGAGAAGCCCTGCTCGGTAGTATCTTTTTACCGTGGCTAGAACTCCCTGGTTCATAGGTTGAATTAGACTTGTGACATTTGGTGGCAGATATTTCACAATTATTCTGCCATCATCTGAACTCAGCGATTCTTCATGTGGATGTGCTGGAGGAAAATCCAAAAGCAGCACTGCTTTTTCTAGAAGCCCCTTGGATTTCAAATGCTTCTGTACCTGTGGCACAAAGTATTTTTCAAACCACTGTCTGAAAACTGAATGTTCTATCCATGCGCTTTTCTGACTGAAATAAGTGACAGGAAAGTTTGAAAGGTCAGCTCCTTTGAATGCACGGGGTCTTTTGGCTTTCCCACAACACAAAGATTAA